TGGTCTCAGGTATACCAAAAGGGACCCTTTCCTCAAATTCTTTCAAAGGAGTAGAAAGATAATCACGGCAAGGACTAGTCTAAGACTCCTGTAACTCCTCTAGCTCACTAATTATGTGGCAACTAAAAAGAACCACCCAGGATGATGAAACACAGGTTAAATCCAACTCTGCCAATTCCATTCCTACACCAAGAAACTAAAGAGAAAACACACAACCATGATGCCTGGCTTCATTTGCAATGCATGACCACAGGTCTCAGCTGGATCCTTCATGCTTCCAGCAATGCTCCCACACTCCAGTTAATTCACTCTCCTAGATGGCAATTGCACATTTTACCCTCTCATCTCAAACGTTAATATCACCTACTCCATCATCCTGCTCAGCTGCTGAGAAAAAAGTAAAAATCAGAAGACAACAAAGAAAATGAGAAGAGAGCTAAGAAACAAAAAGTCATCAGAAACTCCCAAGTGCACTCTTTCTACCTGTCTTCATGGATCTCTGTCCACACACTCTGTCTTCTCTCCTTATCATCAATAAACGAGCCAAGCTCCTACTGAAGTTCAGGCAACCCCAAACCCTTCTCTTCCACTTGACCAAATAAATTACTTCAGCACTTTCTTAAATAAACAACTTCCTCTCAACTATATATCCCCATCATGATAGAAACATACTATCAGTTCTGGGGCACCTGGGTGGCGCAGTCAGTTAAGCGTCCCACTCTTGGTTTCAACTCAGGTTGTGATCTCATGGTCATGAGATTGAGTCCCACTCAGCACTAAGTGGGGAGTCTGCTTGAGATTCTCTCTCCCTCTCCCTCTGACCCTCCTGCTCATGCTCTCTCTAAAATAAATAAATCTTAAAAAAACAAATACTGTCATTTCTGCAATTAAAAAAATCTTGACCTCATATTCCTTTTTAAATATAGCCCCATTTCTCCCTTCCCTTTTGTAACAAAGGACCTCAAAACAGTTGTGTATACTTTCTGTCTCTAACCACTCTCCTCTTATTCTTCCTTGAGCCCATTCCAAACAAGCTTTTGCCCTTACACTCCACAAAACTGCTCTGGTCGAAGTTACCAATAACCTCCACGTAGCTTAATTCAATGGTCAATTCTCAGAATTCATTTTACACAAGTTATATTAGCAGAATTTGACATGGCTAATCAGACCCTCCTCCTTCTAACACTTTCTTCACCTGGTTCCAGGATACCACACTCTCTTGTTTTTCCTTCTGTCTAATCTTCTGTTTCCTTTGATGGTTACTCCTCATTCTGACCTCTTAATGTTGAAGGGTCCCAGAGCTCAGTCCTTGAACTTCGTCTCTTTTCTAACTATGCTCTCTCTGCAAGTAATCTCATCCAATTTTTGCTTTAAATACGCTTTGATTAAAAAAAGCAATAGAACAGGGCGCCTGGGTGGCTCAGTTGGTTAAGCGACTGCCTTCGGCTCAGGTCATGATCCTGGAGTCCCAGGATCGAGTCCCACATCAGGCTCCCTGCTCAGCAGGGAGTCTGCTTCTCCCTCTGACCCTCTCCCCTCTCATGCTCTCTCTCTATCTCATTCTCTCTCTCAAATGAATAAATAAAAAAAATCTTTAAAAAAAAAAAAGCAATAGAACAAAACAAAACAAAACAATAGAACAGATCAATGAAACCAAAAACTGGTTCTTTGAAAAGAACAACTGAATTGATAAACCTGTAGCAAGACTCATTAAAAAAAAAAGAAGAGAGAGGACCCAAACGAAATGACTAATGAAAGAAGAGAAATAACAACCAACACCACAGAAATACAAACATTGGTAACGGAATATATTCAGAAAACCTATATGCCAACAAATTGGACAACTTAAAAGAAATGGATAAATTCTTGGAAACATATAAACTACAAAAAGTGAAGCAGGAAGAAATAGAAAATTTGAACAGACCAATTACCAGCAGTGAAATTGAATCAGTAATCAGAAAACTCTCAAAAAACAAAATCTAGGGCGCCTGGGTGGCTCAGTTGGTTAAGCCACTGCCTTTGGCTCAGGTCATGATCCTGGAGTCCCGGGATCGAGTCCCGCATCAGGCTCCCTGCTGAGCGGGGAGTCTGCTTCTCCCTCTGACCCTCTTCCCTCTCGTGCTCTCTCTCTCTCATTCTCTCTCTCTCAAATAAATAAATAAAATCTTAAAAAAAAAAAAATCCAGGACCAGACAGCTTCACAGGCAAATTCTACCATTTAAAGAAGAGTTAGTACCCATTCTTCTCAAACTATTCCAAAAAATACAAGAGGAAGGAAAACATCCAAATTCATTCTATGAAGCCAGCATTACCCTGATACCCAAATCACATAAAGACATTACAAAAAAAGAGAACTACAGGCCAATATCTCCTATGAATATAGATGCAAAAATCCTCAATAAAATATTAGCAAACTGAATCCAACAATATATTTTTAAAAAATCATATACCATGATCAAGTGGGATTTATTCCCGTGACAGAAGGATGGTTCAATATTCACAGAAAAAGCATTTTACAGGAAAGATGCAGAAAAAGCATTTTACAAAGTACAATATCCATTCACGATAAAAAAAAAAAAAAAACCTCCGCAATCCCATTCTTCACCTACTTAGTCAAAGTCTTGGAGTCATTCGTGACCCCTCTCTTTCTCTCATATCCCACATTCAATTCATCAGCATATCCTCTGCCTTCAAAATACATCCAGAATCCAACCACGTTTATTGCCTTCATTACCATCTTACTCTTCAAAAGACACCAGTAAGAAAATGAAGACAAGCTACAGACTGTAAAAAATATTTACAAACCATATATCTATGCTTTGTAATGAAGGACTTGTATCCAGAATATATAAAACTCAAAAAGCTGATCAATAAGAAAACAAACCACCTAGATAAAAAAAAAAAGAAGAAGAAGAAGCCAAAAGATTTCATATTTTACCAAAGCAGACATGTATAGCAAGGAAACACATGAAAAGATAAGAATGCTCACCATTATTAGTAGCTGGGAGATATAAATTAGAGTAAAATCACAATGAGATACCTCTATATACATATTAGAATGGCTAAGTTAAAAAGACTGACAATACCAAGTGTTGATGAGCTATGGAGCACTGGAACTCCAGACACTGCTGTTTGAAACATAAAATGGTACAACCACTTGGGAAAATGGCTGTCAATTTCTTAAAAAGTTAAATATACACCTGGGGTCAAAGAAGAGTGTTTGTTTATTGACAGAAATGGTCCACTTCAGAAGATATTCAGAAATGATTTAGAACTATTTATTGGTGATTCTTCCCTTGGTTGAAGATGCTAAAGCATATACCTCCAGATGATCCAAACATTCCACTCCTAAGTAGTCCCAGGAGAAATGAAAGTACACATTCACTTAAAAGTTTCGTACACAAATGTTCATAGCCCCAAAGTGAAAATGCCCAAATGTCCATCAACAGGTGAAAAGATAAACAAATTACGGTATACCCATAAAAAATAATAATACTCAGCAATAAAAAAGGGCTGAATTACTGATACATACAACATAGATGAATCTCAAAATAATTATGGTGAAAAAAGAAGGCAGAAAAGAAAAAAAATGTATTATATGTGTGTACACACACACACACACACACACACACATATACTATATAATTCCAGTAATACCAAAAACATACCAATAATTCCAAAAATACAAACTAATCTACAGTGACAGAAAACAGATCAGTGGTTGCCTGGGGAAGAGAGACAACCAGAAAGGCAGGAGGGAGGGATTACCAAGGAACACAAGAGAGTCTTGAGGGTAATGGATATGTTCATTATCTTGATTGCGGTCATGGTATCACAGGTATACATACGTCAAAACATTAAATTGTTTCAGTGTATGCAGCTTATTGTATGTCCACAATAATTCAATAAACCTATTTCTAAAAAGAATATAGCAGGTACTTAATAAATATTTTCAGAATAAAAAAAGTGGATGAAAATAAAAACAAATGTTAAGAAAGCAAAATCCTAAGAATGAATCCTTTTTTTTTTTTTTTTTGAAGTAGGAACCCCTTATATCCTCCCTTCTTGAATAGTATTCTTTTCTGAATGAGACACTGTAAATCAAAAAGGGGGAATAAGCTATCATGAAGCAAAGTCCCTCAATATGAAGCTGTAATGCCTTTCAGCCAAGAGGAACCACCTCTAAGTAGTCCTGAAATGGACAACTGTTGTCCCAATATACAAGCACTCTGCCACAGTCCTCTAGCTGCTGAATAATCTCTTTGAACTCATCTCAGAAACCCTGCCTCAGGGTGCCCGGGTAGTGCAGTCAGTTCAGCCACCCACTCTTGGTTTTGTTCAGGTCACGATTTCAGGGTCATGAGATCAAGCCCCAGGTTGGACTCCCGGCTCAGCACAGAGTCTGCTTGAGATTCTCTCTCTGACTACCTGCCCCCCACACCCCCCCTCCACTTTCTCTCCCTAAAATCAATCAATCAATCTTAAAGAAAAAAGAAAGAAACCTTGCCTCATTTCTCCTTTTTATGTAATCTTTACTTGTCATTAACTGTATATTGACCCTTTCTCCACAAATTTAGTTTGCTATAAATTTTTTAAGAACTAAGGAATGGCCATAGAGGTATCCTCAGCTCATCGCCTGGGATGAAAAGTACCTTTCCTTGGATTGCTTGTCTTCTGTCTCCCAATCTCCCACTTAGGTAGAAAAACCACCATCTCTCTTTCATTTACCTCCCTTGCCCCTCCTCTTTGAAATCCTAACTTCCACTCAACAGCATTAATTTTAGCATCATCTGAATTAATGAATATACCTACACTTCTTTCAGAAGCTGCTATAGTTATGTGTTTTCTGTGACATGACTTCTTCATCATAAAATTAAATAAAATTCTAAAAATAAAATAAAATAAATAAAATAAAATAAAATAAAATAAAAAATAAAACAAAATAAAAATAAAAGTAAAGCATCTACTTATGTTTAAATAAAGTTAGCCCTATGACTCACCTCATTTCCACCAACTGCCTTGGTTAAAATCACTGCAGAAGACACAGGGGGAGGCATGCAACCTACTGTCTGCAAACTGAAAAATAAAAGAAAATGCAATTATAAGGTTTTTTCAATTATAAATAGCAATTCTCAAACTTTCAGCTCATAAAAAAAATGTTCCTGTTGCTGTAACATCATTAAAGAACAAGCATGACATGATCATATACTTCTTGGATTCAAACTGTAGTAAATTCTAGAACCTATTCTAAATTTAGTTTTCTTAAATTATGTGTATACTCCCCAGATCATGACAAGAAGTCTATTCTTTTAGTTTAGAATAGAAAACACAGTGCATAACAAGCAAATGAAACTATGAGTTGTAAATCTAAATACTAAAGATATAAAACATTACTTATCACCCAAAGCATGGATATACTTTCTACCTAGATCAAATATACATTCTAGACATAATGAGTAGCCGGCCGGACTAAAAGCAAAAAGTTCATATAGGGGACAGAGGACACAGAGTGCCTGACTTTAACAAATTTTAAGTGCAGGATTACAGATGACCTCTTCTCGCTTTTGTAAGAATGTATCATTTAATTTTGTAAGAATGTATCGTTTAAGCTTTATGCAATGAATTTACATTATCTCTGAAATTAGAAAAAAGAAGAAAAGCTTTAATTCATTTTGACTGAAAATGAGAAAACACTTTTAAAAGAATTTCCAGTTCAATTCAAGTCTTCTTTTAAGGTTTGTTTTCCCAAGTGATGCTTAAATTGTCTGTCCTATTATCAATTCCCAATCTCTGAGCCTTTCTCATGATCATCACTATTATCATTACTGATACTTACTAAGCATTTACCATTTATAACAGATACTCTTCTAGATACTTTACTCACTTCTTCCTCACAAATATTTAAGGTAAATTCTATTATTATTCTCATTTTACTGAAAACTGAAGTTAAAAGAGAAGTTAAATAACTTGTCCAAATTCACAAAGCCACCTACCAAGGATTAAACTCTTATTCTGGAATCTAGGGTCAAAGACTTATCTAGGCCTACTATTCTAGCCTCTCTGCATTCTATTTCTCCTACCCCCAACACTAGGAACGGGTCCTCCCAGGTATTTTCAGTCTTTCCCTCTTTTCTGGCCCCTTCCCTTCTATGTACAAAAAACCAGAGCTCTCTTGGGCGCCTGGGTGGCTCAGTTGGTTAAGCGACTGCCTTCGGCTCAGGTCATGATCCTGGAGTCCCGGGATCGAGTCCCACATCGGGCTCCC